ACTTTAAACTCAACAGTACCTCTGTTTGCCATGAAGATCTCTAATGCTGTATTCTGCAAGAGATAACGCCGTGAAAAGACAGACCGAATCTCTGAAAAGAGCCATTTTCCATGCAGTCCTTCTGTATATGCTAGAATCTAGTAAAAGGGAAAAGCAGAGAGAAAAATTTTTTTAAATATGTTGCTAGTACAGATAACAACGTGTGAAATAGAAACTGTGTTTGATTCACAAATAAGAATTTGGCCAATTATCAGCAAATCCAGCAGCAAATTTAAAATAAACTCGGAATAATGCTATGAACTTGTAACGGATATTTCCAAGTCTTAAACTCAACCATTCATGTCAAGGCCATTTAAAAAATTGTTTCTTTAAAAGACAAGCATGTAATTTATATAACTAATGGAGTCTCAGAAACTTGTATGAAGTGTTTACCACTTAGACAAAATATAAAATTGTATTTTTGAAATATATTTCTAGTGTCAATAGATGTATCTGCACTCACTTTAGAGTTGTAATAATAGAACTGTAACAAGTAAATGGGGGGGAAAAACCTTTAAAATGTTCCTTGCATTTATCGTTAAGGCACTATTCATTAATTCTGCAAGTATAAAGGTTGGCTGTATAAGAGGTTAAGTATCATTTTGTCAGCTAAGGTTAAACACAAACCTGCAAATGAACTCAACATAATCTTTCTATGGAGTAAGCAGTTGTGGAAGTAACTTGTTACAATTCCTGTCATCCCATCTGACAGACACAGATGCTTAGTCTGCTTTCACAATTCAAACTAATCCCATTTTTAGTGCACAACCACTTTGTTTCTTTGTTTCTTTTTTTTTCTTTTCATTTCAAAGCTTAATTATGTAAGTATTAAGAGACAACAAGATTGGATGACTCTCTGCTTTAGATTAGCAAAACACAGGCAAAGGAAAAAAAAAGCAAGATTTGTCAATTTTAACATACACAAACATATTCAACATAAACACACTACAGAAAACAAAATTCAAATATGATCTTAATTAATGTCACTGCTATCGCCATTTCACTGAAGTAATACATTGTCTTAAAAAAAAAAAAAAAAGAGTTTCCAGCCTTTAACATAACCAAGACTTTTAATGAACACAGTTATTTGTTTTTAGATATTAGAGAAGGGAGCATTTTGCCTCACATGTAGCAAAGAGAAGGAAAAATGAATACTCTGCTGGAAACTTCTTGCAATGCGATGAAAGGAATAATCATTACTTAGGGCTGCTGAACTATTTTGAAACTGGGGAACTAACAGACTTGGGCCATGACAGCACCTTCCTGCACCACATCCATAACTGAGCCATGCAAACAGGCAGATTTGAATAAATCTGTGGGGCAACCAAGAACTGCTGTGGTTCACTTATGTCACATATACATAAATACCTTTTAAAAAGCACACGATAAAAGAGGTACCAAAGGAGTCCTAGTTGCAATGCTTGCGTGAAAAAAATCTCCAGTGCCTTTGCTGGCATTCGTCCACAGTATGTCATTAAAAGGGGAGCATGCAATGCCAGTGAATCTCTTGGAAGGCACAGAGAACGGCAACAACCTGAGCACTTCTGCACTAATAGTGAGAGCACAACAGGCTGATCATCACCACGAGCCTTCGCAGCTCCAGCTTAAGCACCTATACTGCATGAGAGCAAAAATGAACAAGGTAAAATAATTAAGCATTATTTTTGCCCTGGGGAATAGCATTTTGCGGGACAACGCACCTACAGCTTAAACACTGCAAACAGCCAAATCCTTGCCAAGCAACTTACTCCAAACTGAAAGGAAGAGCTTTTACATGCCAACAGTGTGGGCAGTTCACACCGTGGGCCCTGCTCAATAAAGCTATTGCACCCAGTGTAACAGGGTAAGTTACAGCATTCGTGAGAGCGCCAGTGAGCACAAGGCCTGAGGAGGGAGTAAATAGCAGTGGCTTGGTCTGCCAGTGCCCAGTCCCCATTCCCAGTTGCAACGAGGTCTGCCTGCTCGGCAGCTTCACTTCAAAGTCCTTGGATTCAATTAAAATGGGATTAGGCAGGAGTGGGCTTCTATGGGGCGGTCAGCGCAGCGCAGCAGCGCTGGGACTGGAGGGAGGTCAAGCTCGCCGCCAGTCAGCCAGTTGCCTTGGCGACGGCATCCTTACCACTGCTCTTAACGGCACCACGCGGAGGAGCTGGGCACGCTGCTCCTAGCGAGTGTGCGGGCCCAAACAAAATCAAATTCGACTTTGCCATTCCCTCTCAAATGCCCAAGCTAATTAGTAGAAGTGACTCTAGGCAGAAAGAGTATTTTTAAAAGAAATTCAGATATTTTATTCTGGTGAAGGGTTTTCTCTGTGAGCTTCACTGCTTCTGACACTTGCAGCTTAAGCACTGCAACTTTCAAAACTGGTTTCTGCATTCTCCGGTTTTCACCCACCTGCCTTGCAACACCAAAATCCACTTCCAAATTTAAGGTTGGCCATCTTATTCGCCCCATCGTGCAATATGCTGAGTTTTAAAACCAACTCCCATTTATTTCTGTGATTCATCTCCACTAGTAACAGCTTGGGCAAAAACTGTGAAACAGCGGAGTACGATCTAACCAAGCCAGCGCGGCAACTATCCCAGTACCCACACAAGTAGGGCTGATGAAATACAGCTCCAGTTGAGTCAACACACTAAGGTGAAGTTTAATCTACGGCACCTTTCATTTATTTCAAAAGGTACTTTGCCTCACAGAAGGAAGAATAATTTATCGAGTTGAACACTTGAAATAAACTGCTGGAAACATGCCGATGAGACCACCGGAAAGCTGCATTACACCAAAAGTCTTGTTACAAGAACCACTGCAAAAGCAGACCTGGGGAACACCCGATTAATCAACGGCAACACTATTAAAAATAAAAATTTACGTCCAGTTTCGTGTGAGGCCCCTACTTTACCTCAGACGGCAGCAGTGAGGCCCCAGCCTTGCAGCAGAAGCAAGGCTGAAACCAGAGCGGCCTCAAAACGCAAGCAGCCAAGTCCCAATCATCATCTAAAATGGCGCCTGGTCTAGCCGTGTCGTAGCCACTCACACAAAATGGCCGCCCCGCCATGGCACATGTTCAAGCGCGCGCGTCTCAGCCTGGCTCTTCTTCCAGGCGCCGCTTCCGCACGCGTCACAAGCCATGTATGCTGCTGCCATGAGCAGTGGTGTTTTACTGAAGACTAAATGAACGTTTTGCTTCACATTTTCAGCAAACCCATTGGCAACTGTGTGTTTTAGTTTAGAGGAAAGCACTATTGATCTTGGAAATGTGAATAGCCTAGGAGTAATTAAGTCTGCAAATGGGTTATGGAACTGAAACAATAATTGAATAATTATATTACTTTAATGTGCAAGGCAATTTAAGTGCCGTGAGTTAAAATAAAAACTAAATAGCTTATTTAAAAAGCTGATGCAAATTTGAATTTTTCACAATAAAGGTTTTTTTTTTCTTGCAGCTGTTCTTAAAATAAGTTGCGTACACTCAGGCAGACAAAGCAAAATACATTTAATTTGCAACCAAGTTTGATTGCCATTGAGAAAGAACTTACAGTAGTGGCATTCTTACTATTTCTGGGGCTTTTTTTTTTTTTTTTTTACAAAGGAGACAAAATAACAACATTCAGAAGCCTAAAAGTCTGGTACACGACTTGCCAGGACCCTGGAGCCCCACTGCTACCTCAGCCATGCAGTTCTGCTTCTCATCTGCACCTTTTATCGCCCCAGGACCATCACAGTGCTTATTAGTTTATTTTGGATTTTGCAGTAACAAGCTACCAGGACAGCAGAGAACGGAAAAAAAAAAGTGCTTATTTTAAATATTTATACAAAAAGCCACTGAAACCCACACGCAAACAGTAGCAGTCTCCCATCCGGTACCTCCTGTGTATGCACAACCTGCTCTACGGTCCTGCTCAGCATTTTCATGGGTGACAAACTCAATTAAGCATATTCATTACTTTAATGTTCCACTAGGCAGTTTTACCCAGCATAAAAAATGTAAATAAATAAATAAATAAATACTACGTGACCTTTGTATCGATCAGAGCAAAATGGCTTATGCCTGGGTGTGGGTGGCAGTGGGTTTGGGGAGGGGGGTGGTAAAGGACTCTTATGTTTTCTCTTCCAATTACTGGAGGAGATGATAAAACCGGAGCAAATGATGTATCAGCTCATTTTATCTTATCGCTTTGGGGCTAGGTGACAATGAAGTTCATATTTCACTGGTTCCCATTGAAGATTGTGAAAATTACTTGCCCTTATGACCTGAAATTTCAGTAGAAGACAGAAATTTCTCTTCTGCAAAGTAATGCAATTTTTCAGATGTCAACCTTTAGCCCAGCTTTAAAAATTAATTTCATTTATATTAACCAATGATATTGATATTTTCACAGAATGCTCTTTGATACATGAACTACCAACTAGCAAATTGATGTGCCTTAAAAGGCTTAAATTATTTTATTTGAACCTGCCGTAGACAGACAGATCTACCAGAAACTGAAATTCCTATATTGTAGAGTAATATTTACCCTAGCCCGATACACCTTAAGGCCTTTGGACCTGTAAATAGTTTCATCTTTACTTAAGATGTGGTTTTATTTCTAGATCTATTCAGTTTTGAAAAATTTTCTCGGTAAGTTATGTACAAATAAAAACACCATTTGTTTAGAAATTAATAAAGTCTGTCAGAAGCAGTACACACGTGATGACATGAAAAATATTTTTCATAGTTAAAATAGTACGGAAATGCACAACTGTATTTTCTGTCTTTATTCTGACACTAAAGTTATATTTCAAAGTGAAAAAAATACACAATGCAGATTTTCTGAAAGTGCTCTTCCATCAGCTACAGATAATCTTCTCCAGAATTACAAAGACTTATCACTGAAAATAAATTTATCATAAGAACCTGTATTCATAATTTTTCTGAGATGGCCGAATCAACACAACACAAAATCCTACATATAGCTGTCTCATACAACTGGTACTGGAAAAACTTCCTTGCTTCAGGATGTTAGTTATCCAGACAAAGAATATTAATAAAATCTGCCACTGTTCAACTTCCAGAAATGACCTAGGGTGCTCATGGAATCAGGGTTGTATATAATTTCAT